TCAACCTCTCTACAAATTTCAGCTTTGTAAAGTTAATTGTATAATGTTTTGTCAAGACTGGATCACAGAAGTGATCAAAGAATTCACCTATTCCAATCAGTACGCTTTGACTGGCAGCCGCTGCTCCTGTTTGCTGATGGAGTTTGTCAATGTTTTGGCAAGTTTGGTGAACCAAGCTCACTCCCGGGATGGACTACAATCTCAATACAAATTAGTAACCTAAACACGAGATTGTAGTCCATCCCGGGAGCACACTTGGAGCGGTGACAACTTTGCAAAACGCTCCAAGCTCACTCCCATGATGGACTACAATCTCACATTTAGTTTACTAATAATAGAGAATGCAGTCCATCACATGAGTGAGCTTGGAGCGGTGGCTACTTTACAACACACACAGGGGCCATGGGGAACAAAAGTAGTCACCCTCCATAAGGAAGGACAGTGTCAGCACCAATTCAGAGATGATTTGAGGATCTACAGCCGAGTGATAGACAAATAAGTTACATTTTTGTCAATAGAATACTTGAATGCATTGCTAAGATTTAATTCCTGGGTTTAGTAGCACTTGAAGGATTGTTAAACTCCAGTGTATAACATTTTTGTTTTAAAGTTTAGATGAGCTTTAGGCACCTATTTATTACTGTATTTCCAGGATTTAATCTGCTGCTGTGTGTGTTAACTTCCATTCAGTAAGAAACTGCTCACAGGATTCCTTCAAAGTTTTTTACATGAAGCCACTCTAAATAAATTATCTAAAAACAGTAACTGTATAAGCCAATTTAACCAGTTGGGGATTACTTGACAACTCGTATAGCTTCTTGTTTGGTTTGAGAAAATTAGAGGGCACTGACACAAACAATTAAATCCTCTATTAGCACTTCTTGTCAGCAAATGAACGAAACCTACTGATGAGATTTTGCTGAACAACAAGTTTAACATTCTCTAACGAGTGACAATTTTTTCTATTTCCCATGGAAGTTTTTCTGTCAATTCTCTGGTTAGTTGGCCAGCGAATTCCTTTATTTCCCATCATTCTAAAGTGTAAAAGAATCCTATGGCTTGTATTGCTGTATAGCAACAGCGCCTTTCACTTAATGACAAGCTGAAAATGGCACAAGATGTTCAAGGTCAATGACCTGATTAGAAGTACGGTTCATTAAAATCACACTTTAAGAAAGGCCACAATGCAGGAACGAAGTGTTGTCGGAGGTTAAATGGATCGATTTGTTGTAAAACCAAGGAGGGCATGCCTTTTGAATTAAAGGATGTATATATGCAAATCCCAGCCAGGATTACCAAAAAAGTTGTTTTCCTATGTGCTAAGACAAGAAAAAAAGCCAGCCATGCCTGATTTTGCACATCAATCTCTATAACCAGATACTGTTTTTAAAAACTTTATCATTTTAGCCAATGTTACAGTTTTTTCTGTCATCTGTGTCCCATTAGGGAGATGTTTCTTCACTTCCTGTCTGATAGCCACAACAGTGAGAGGAAATACATACAAAGAGAGGAAAATCCCTGGTGGTCAGCAGGGTTTCCAGACCTAGTGTCCCCATCTGGAGATTTCCCATCTATTCCTGTTCTGGTGACAAACCCAAAATTTGGGATTTTCTTTTACTTTCAGTGATAATGGTCACCAGGACAATTAGGGTGAATCTCCCTAATGGGGGCATATGCAGTGATATATCCTTGACAGGTACTCTAATCCCTCCCCACTCTGTCCAAAACTAAAGGCTTCTGTTGCACTTGACTCCCCGCTCACACCACAGGCGTTTGTAGCTCATATTTGTCAGCACGGAAAAGCTCCACACAAGAAATCCTATTGATTTCTATAGTCCCCGTTCACATCTCAGCATAGGGCCGCGCTGAGAAAAAAGCAGCTCACTAGAAAAAAAGTACACAAGCTTCTTTTTTGGGCAGATCAGTGTGATAATGAATAGGAAAAAGGGTCACATTGCGCTGATCTGCCCCAAAAAAGGCGCATGCCTACAGGCTTGTGCGGAGCTTTTCCGTGCTGACAAATACGAGCTACAAACGCCGGTGGTGTGAACAGGGACTTAAGTATCACACAAAGGTCACATACTATGTAATTCAACCATACTTGGGTCAGTTCTCACAAGGGATGTGCCCAGTCTGAGCAGGCTATTGCAATAATCAGACATTGTAGAAATGAACACAACGAAAGAATGCACAGCCACTAAATATGCTTTTTATCATATAAAAATGTATATTTGCAAAATCTCTTATATTGGTGAAGGATCACTGACTCCTTGAAAAGGTAAAGATCCTTTCACTGCATATGCACTAAAAAAAAAATGTCACCATATTGTCAGACTTCAAGGACATGTCACAATCTTCAAACTAACCCAGTGTCAATGTGACACTCATTGGCATATAAGTATTGATCCTGCTCTACACACAAAACGAATGATTGAAGTCTGGGTGCATAGAGATGCAAAATATGCACTTTTGATGATCAGACATGCTTTTTATTGTTCCCTAGTTAACCCTTTTATTACCTAATCTTCATATACAATACTGGACTCTGTTGCATAACCTGCAAATGTCAAACTATCCATTGGCTAGTCTTAAAGCGATCTAGTCATCTGCTTAAAGTGTATGTCATGCTGGATATTTTTTCCCCTTTAAAGTGACATTAAAGGATTTTTTTCCCCCTGCCCCCCAATGTTAGTGTAAGAACTTGCCTGAAATGATGCCTTTTAATTCGATCATCTTCTTCTTTACTGTCGTTTTCACATGTCCCTCCAGCGTAACAATCGCCATAGCGACCCAGGCGGCCGCTATGGTGCACGGGGCTGGTGTGGGTCTCCGATCCATCGCTGACTCCTCTGTCCTCCTCTCCTCTGACTTACCCTGTGTCTCTCCTCGTCTCCCGGCCGAACATCTGAACTCCGCATGTGCCCGCCCCAAGATCCTTTGCGGCCGCCCGACACTCTTCAAATGTTCGGACGAGAGTGTGCAGTGAAGACACAGGTAAGTTTAAACCTGTTTCAAAAGGTTTTTTCTTTTTTTTAAAGTTTGTGCATATATCTACTGCTTGCTAGCAATAGATATACAAAAAAACGTGAGGGTTTAATAACCCTTTTGGATAGAGTGGGAAATGATTAGAACTCCTGTTGGGTAGTTATAGATTAAATATAGGTCCATTTACTTATAATTTCCTTTTAATCCATTCAAGCCCCGATGAAGAGGCAGCTTTATTACCCCTGGAACGTGTCGGCTGTTTTTATGTGAACGTATTGCGAACAATTAAAGTGACAATAAACTCAGGAGTTAAATCTTAGAAATACATTCAAGTAACTTCACTATTAACAAAAATGTATCTTATTTGTGTATCGCTCGGCTGTAGATCCTCAAATCATCTCTGAATTGGTGCTGACACTGTCCTTCCTTCTGGAGGGGGGCTACTTTTGTTCTCCATGGTCCCTGTGTGTTGTAAAGTAGTCACCGCTCCAAGCACACTCATGTGATGGACTGCATTCTCTATTATTAGTAAACTAAATATAAGATTGTAGTCCATCACGGGAGCACACTTGGAGCGGTGACAACTTTACAAAATGCTCCAAGCTCACTCCCTCGATGGACTACAATCTCACATTTAGTTTACTAATAATAGAGAATGCAGTCCATCACATGAGTGAGCTTGGAGCGGTGGCTACTTTACAACACACACAGGGAGACCGTGGGGAACAAGTAGCCCCCCTCCAGAAGGAAGGAGTGTCAGCACCAATTCAGAGATGATTTGAGGATCTACAGCCGAGTGATACACAAATAAGATACGTTTTTGTTAATAGTTAAGGTACTTGAATGCATTTCTAAGATTTAACTGCTCAGTTCATTGTCAGTTTAAAGGCACTTTAGACTCTTTCACCTTCTGACTTGGCGTCTATGTGTATGTCTATACTTTGAGGTAGCCAGTGATGGAGACCTGTGTGTTTGAGGGCTGCCATATCAGAGCCTGTGAGCTTGTTTAAAGATGTCCTTGCCTTTGAACCATTTGCTTAAGCATTGACATCCTAGCGCTTCTTAAACATGCTTTTCTAAAGGTAGCCATAGACGTGGCAATCGCTTCCACATTAGGCAACAACTGTCTATGGATACCTAAGGTTTATGACTTACTGCTATTATTGCTGTCTTAGGAATATTTGCATTCTGGATCATTTATAATATTTCAGAATTTCCCTGGGTAAGAAGCCCTACAAACTAACGATAGCTTTACATGAAATGAGATTCATCAATCCTACAAAGTAACAGTGTTACACTATAAAAATTTTGCCAGCAGGGAATATACATCACTCTTCCAGTTCCTTTTTAAGGTAATGAATACACATTGTCTTTGTCCCTACCCAGTGAAAGTTCATTATGTCCCAGTGATACTAACAAATTGACCTAAAGGAAAAGTTTCTTTAGAATTTAAATAAATCGCCTTTCAATGTGTGTTAGAAAGGAAAAAGACAGCTTCTCCAACAACCCACGTCTGCCTCCTTTTTATATGCGCCTTTCAAATGTGCATTTTTAAGAGTGACTTCCCCAAGTTGTTTCTTTCCAGCATCCGTCATCCTTAGTTGTCACATATTGTGATTTGGGGATTGATAGGAGAAGGAACAGACCCCGGGGACCATTCTCTTAAATTCCCTAATGTATAATTTTCATACGCATAATTGTTCTTTTTGGATCTTTGAAAAGGCAGAGCTGGGCACAGACCCTATCCTCTGATGGGCTGCTGATTCTTTGTGATGTGGCTTTTCTTTCTTTTTCTTTTTTTTTTTTTTTCTTTGCACTGAGCCACTGTAAGCAGTGCTGTGTAATTTTATCCAGCCTGCACTTAGTTCACACAAGAATGATACCTTGCCTGCCTCCTTTGTATCAATTGGTCGGGGATCTGTCTATTGTTGCAAGGGGAGGGGGGCTTTTTATTTCAGTTGCTGTTGAGCACCACTATTTCTCGAAAACTCATAAAATTCAGAAGGGATCTCATTCTTGCACATTGGGAGATGCTTACACTCTGAGTGCTGCAATTAATCCGTGAACCTGTGACCACCGTTGACACCTATTTATTTAGAGGATCAAGGCGAGACAGATAGAAGGTCAGATAACCGCCACCGGGCGTTCCATGCATCAAGAGCAGTGTGACTTGCCACTTAGAGAGCTGCTAACAAGACTTCTTTAATGGGACCCCTTGTGACATTTGCTTCCAGCCTTCCAGCCAACAGTATTTCGGCCATGCCACAATGGTTATAATTTGGATTTTGCTGCTGAGCATCTGTGATCTCGGTCGACAGGTATCCTGGGCGAAGGCTTTGTCCAGTACCACCAGAGTGCCTTGTGCCAGAGGGAAACTGTGCGACCCCAGGCTAAGGAGAGATGCTGGTGGCCGCGGTGGGGTCTACGAACATCTCGGCGGTGCGCCTCGACACCGAAAACTTTATTGCGCTACTAAGTATCACCTTCAGATCCATCCAAATGGGAAAATAAATGGAACGCTGGAGAAAAACAGCATCTTTAGTAAGTGTGTCCAAGTTTTAATTTGCATATAATAATAATTAAATGTAAATAATTTTCTTGCATTGAATGTGTTTTAATCCACCTCTAGTTTTGGCTTTATGTAAATTCAAGATTTTACTGATTAATATAGGTATGTGTGGCCCCATGACAGGTCAGATATGCTGCCATTTTCATGTATTAACTTTTCTATTACGTTGTATCAGCTTGAGGAATATTTGTATGCATTGAGTTTTAGTGGTGAATGCATACTTTTTATTTTCTTTGTGCCCCTAAATTATTTATACCCGAACAGACTTCTACAGATGGTCCTCAGTCTTAGATGATCCTTTCAAAGAAAGAAAACATTGTTTTTTTTCTTTCCATTATTAATACAAAGATATCTAGCATCCCCTTTTCATGTTGTCTCTCATTTCTTCCTTAAGATGTTGGAGTGAATAGGGTAAGACTTTGAGGTGGTAAAGCATTATCTCCCTCTTGCTGTGCCTTTCTATGAATTAACCTGGAGGGTAAGGATGTACCTTCAGCCTTTAGCTGGTTCCCCGATCATGTCATTTATTTAAGCAGCTTTTTTTTTTTTCCGCCAGTCAGCACAAACAATAGCTTAGTTCAGCATGCTATACATCTGTAGGGTTGCTTTTGCCTTGATTTTTTCATAATGCTTCTTATTAAAATGTTCAGCAACTTCAGAGACGTTCATGTCACTTTACTTGTATAAAGGTATATGTGCATATACAGGTACTGTATGACCAACCTAACACGCAGAGGGTATTATTTAGGTGCACAAGCTAGCAATCCTGTTTCAGGTTAAGCCCCCTATTCACACCTGAGCGTTTTGTTGCATGTTTCTCAAAGAACAACTATGCTCAACATGAAGAATCCCATTATTTTTAATGGTGCTTGTTCACACCTAAGCATTGTATCCCTTGTCGCTTGAAAAAGTGCATGAGCTTTTTATTAAGCAGAATTGTGTGTTTTTGCCCCCATAGATGTCACTTAAAAAAATGCATGAGCTTTATTTTAGCCATATTCGTGCATTTTTGGCCTTACAGACTTTAATGGAAAACACGTAATGAGCGTTTTTGCGCAATTTTATGCCTATCAACTGTCTCCTCCTCCTATTAACTAGCCTTTCATTGGCTAAAAAAACGCTCAAACCTAAAAATGCATCAAAAGCATGTGGGAAATGGTACCAAAAATTCTCAAAATTGCATTGAAAAGCTCATGCTTAAGTGTGAATGGCACTAAGGGATTTTTTTAAATGACAGATTTGTCCATCTGACAACACTTTGACTTTCATATGCAACTGGCGTAGGAGGTGTAGGAAGCAGAATTGCTCTCTAGAAGGGAGGCAATAAAATTGTGATCCCTAATTATGAATGAGTCCCATCATAATTATGGAGTCCCATCATAGCTTATCAAAAGTGCTCCCAAGAATGAAAACATTCTACCGCTTCATGAACATGTCAAGCACTCTGCTCATTTTTCTCTGATGTCATCTATTCTCGTCTCAAATTTTTAGTGAGAATAACACACACAGGAGGCTGAGCTGTGATCTACCTGATTGCAAGCATACATATTAAATAATTTCAGGCGTTACTGTTGAGAACACATGTATGAAGCTCATCATTGAGCATGGACTTTAGAGGTCAAGGCGTTTCACTTGATTATTTTTTATTTTATTCTCAGCATATTGAGTAAAATATCCCTTGCTATTGGTGTTCTTATAATATTACAAGAAACAACAAAGGGATGTAAGGAAATATATCGATGCTACAGATCAGCTGCAATGAAACTAGATCAAGCTCAGCTCAGGCAGGGTTGATATCCCACACCAATCGATTCTCCACATTTGGACATGCTTTTTAAATAGCTGAATCAACACGATGGCTCCTGTAACAAATAACAAGGTGTCCCCCCCTTCACTAGGAGGTCCTGTAACAATGTCCAAGACCCTCTGGCACTGAATACGTTCAGAACAGGCTAAAGCTTCTTACACTCAATAAAACAAACAACCCGTGCCACCTATTTGTTGTAATGCATTATCCTAACATGTGGGATCTTCAAGATTAAAACCTGACTCCTCTGCCAGTCCGGTCTAAGCGTGCTGCTAATACCCTGCAAAATATTGCATTTGTCTCTCTAATCCCCCCCCAAATACTTTTAAAACGTCTATACCCTCGCTTTTGATGGCAAACAGAGATTAGGAAAGGAAAAAAAAAACCTCAAAGGCTCCGGGAGGAGTAAGGAAAACCACCATTTCCTAAAGGGAAGCTCATCTTAAGGAAAGCTTTTTAAAGATACCTCTCATGGTTACACGGATGGCAGAACGAAGGTCCATCCAGAACAGATGTCAAAGGGCGTTTACACATATGTGAAAGCATTGAATGAATGGTAATGTTTGTTTCAAAAAACACGGGGCTACAGCGTCAAAAAAATATAAGCAATGTGACAAATAATCTTTTCAACAAAGCGTGAACGTGTAGGTATAGACCTAGAGTGCGACATGTTTCCAGCCAAATAAAGACAATGACATGCATGGGAACTGGGAAGAGGGTGGGGGTAAGGGGGGGGTCATGCTTGGGCAGAAAGGATTAAATAATATATTTTGCTTATTTCAAGGTATTTTAGAAATAACTGCCGTGGATGTGGGAATTGTCGCCATCAAAGGACTGTTCTCTGGGAGATACCTGGCTATGAACAAAAGAGGGAGACTTTATGCCTCAGTGAGTACTCTGAAATGCACAAACACCTTTTACTCCTTAAAGCTAAATCCCGGGAACCGAATCTTTACTTTTTGCAACAGTAGCTTTGCCTGCATCAGCACGCATTTGTTTTACTTTGTACAAGGAGGGTTCACATTGGCTTGGAATTCTCACGGTAATCCGTGGAAATCCACAAACATACGGATACATTACACATGACAGAGCTTCCTTTGGCAGTGTTGTGTGCAGTTTATTTTGCAGCCATTGCGACCTTCAAAATACCCATATGGAGCATGAAAATGTTAACATTTGTTGTATTTGCCCAGCCCTTTCAACAATTAAACAAAGACATCAGACCGCACCATAATACCATATTCTATGAGCATGGTGACCCTAGACGTCTATGAAGGTAGCACAGTTGTTTCACAACAATTCAGATGAAATAGGAAAGAGTGCTGGAACATGCAGCAATTCACTATTTAGACACAGTAACCTGTTTTAATTGAGTCTGTGATTATTTGCTTTCAGGTAACAAACACTGACTTGACTATGAGAGCATCCATTTTGAATAATTACCTGCGGCATCCAGGGCTCCCATGTTTATTCATCCTGTTACAAAAAAAGTTGGCCAAAGGGTTGATTTTCCACTGTTGGTTACTTGGCGAAGGCAGCAGGAATCTAAGTTCTGGCTGACTGCTCCATGTACTGCAGTTTGCACTGGTAACAAACTGCTAACATTGACCAACACAAAGCTGGACTCCGGGCACACAGTTGAAATATTTATAAGTAAATTGTTTTACCCGCCAAATGACTGCTATTCCATTCAGCCTCTTAAGTACTACAGCCTAGTCCAGGACCCGCTGCCATCTGTGACATGGCAATGGAAGAGCAGAATCACATTAATGATTTGCTTCCTGTGCTCATTGCTTGAAATGCTTCATGGGATTTATAGTTGCACCACAGCTGGAGGGCCGGAGTTTGCCTACCCCTGTTCTAGGGCAAGAAAGGTCTAGGGCCCTTCTGTCTGCATGTTCAATGTACTAGACTGACAGCACCCTGCAAAGTATAATAATAGAAATAGAAACCTGATTCATTCTAGGGATGACATTTGCTATTGTGTGATGTTGTACAAGGGTTTACTGGCAGCTAATATCAAGACAGATTGCTGTATGTAAAAAATAAATGGCCGGATTAAATGGTGAGTCTATATCTTCCCAGAGTGCAGACTCCATTCATTTATATACCCAGCATTTCTGCATATGGGGAAGTATGTGACTCTAACATCTTTCTCCCATGATGCAGTGATGGGGCCTTGACACCAGCGCTGCATTTTGGGGGCGGGGAAATAATCCTTAGCACTATGTAAACTCTGACCAGATCAGCTTAGAGCTTACACAGGGCTTTCCCTCTTTGCTCTGCTGGGAGAAGGAGAACAGTATGCATGAGGCCTAAAGCTTGCTACAAGCCTGTTCAATTCAAACTGAGCGTATGATGAAAAAATAAGCAGAGGCTTCCTTTAGTAAAAACTGAAAAGCCGATATTCAGTGTTATAGGCATTTGCAACGATATGCAGAATTTTACTTTTTCCTGTTAAAGTCTTTCTAAACCAGGGGTAAGCAAACTCTAACTATAAATCCCATGAAGCATTGTAAGACTCTGACAGTCTCAGGGTTGACTCCGAGGTAGGTGCATGATGGAATTGCGGTTTCACTACAGCTGGAGGTCCGGCATTTTCCTAACCCTGCCCTAGACTATTCCCTCTTCTTCCCTCCTCTTCAGCTTTCGTATTGGCCCTTGGATGCAATGGACAACCGCACGCTGACTAAGGCTAGCCATAAACTAATACATTTTTTTGTTCAGTGTGGATAGACAAATCTCTTACTGCTAGCTATACCCGAACAGTGCCTGCATCTGATTGGATAAAGGCACTGTCCAGCTGAAAATATTTGACCAGGCTCCTTTGACCAAAAGTCAATTGAAAAAATGGGTTTTGTCTAGCAGAGGGGTGCCGACAGGGCCAGACGTGGTTCCAAGTTTGGGCGGTTCATCAGCTTTGTGCATTGCCAGCTTAGTAAAGAAGCTCAGGAAGTGGGAAGGACAGGACCTAGCTCAACTTTCAGGAAAAGTCAAGATCTGCTTACAATTTCAGACCTCAATATATCTGAATCTACTGAATGTGGCTAAGTTTGAATAGCCATAGTTGAATTAAGTTTACTTTGAGTCTATCACAAGTGAAGAAAGATCTAAAAATTAAGAATTGATACAATGCGCTATAATTGAAGCTCATAATATGTCTCTCATGGACAGATTAGGGATGGAGCTGTTCAGTTCAAAAGTTGACACCAATAGAAAAGGGTTCAAATAAATTAGGCACCCGGTGTAATTTTCATTTTAAGAGGTGCATATGGCTTCTATGTCCAGTTTTAAAGCTTGAACTGATTTAAAAAAAAAAGAAATATGCATAGGGAACAATACGGTTGTAACTCATAGCAACCAGAATCTGGTAAACTCCATGCCCAAGAAGGTTAAGGCAGTGCTGGAAAATAATGGTGGCCACACAAAATATTGACACTTTCACTTAGGGGTGTACTCACTTTTGTTGCCAGCGGTTCAGACATTAATGGCTGTGTGTTGAGTTATTTTGAGGGGACAGCAAATGTACACTGATATACAAGCTGTACACTCACTACTTTACATTGTAGCAAAATGTTATTTCTTCTGTGTCGTCACATGAAATGATATAATAAAATATTTACAAAAATGTGAGGGGTGTACTCACTTCTGTGAGATACTGTATGCTGTAGTGAACAAATCCACATTTCCATTTGCAAGGGAGGTCATACATGGCCCAATCCCTGCAAGCAAGGATAGGGGACTTTGGGTAGGGTTCCCTAGGGGATGCTGCCTTTGAATCTGAAAGCAGTCATTAGTACACAACCAAAAGTTCCAGCCTGCTGGAAATGTCTTTTTAACAGGTGTTGCTCCTTCTCCTGTCAAAAGACATAAGTAAAGTAAGGTTTTAACAAGGCATCTCCATGAGGCAGAGGACCACAAGGGATGATCTCTGGTTTGGACCCAACCACCCCTTTTTCTTGTTGGAACATCTGCCTATCTATAGCCACAATAATGTTGGTGAAGGCACAATAAATAGCCACCGTTTTGACTCTTGTCTGAGGGAGCAAATGGTAAACCACAAAGGAATCCTGCAATGAATGGAAATCCATTGACTAATTACACCCTGGCAGCCACGTTTGTTTAGCTTCCCAATCTACCTAATCAAATTAGGTAAGAGGAACAGCTGATAAAAGAAACCTTCTGTATCTTATCTCTGCTCTAATGCCTTTAGGATGTACATTAGATCTGCTATAGCATTTTTGTCCTCAGAAGATGGCTTTGGCCTGTGTATGGCTATTACATTAAATGTCATCAGTCACCAAATGAGGATGATAGATACTTATGTATCCCACTCGCATTTGCTCTCACAGCTTTCCAGTCAGAAAACAATAAATAGAACACCTTATTTTCCTCTAAGAATGTCTCGGTTTGATCCACCTCTTACTGGAATGTGGCATTCAAGACCTCCAGAAATAATGGCTTTGCTCCGTCTGTGTGTATTAATGCCCCTTCCATCAATTCAAATTTTACAATACAAATGTTTGAACAATACAAGGGAAGGTGATGTGCGCATAACACAATATGATGAGCAGGTTTTGAACCTGCTCTATGACTTCACTACTTTTGAAGACTATGAAAAGGACATAAAACAGGTGTATTAGAGGGATAAGGTAAAATGCTTTTTTTTTTTATTTGAAGGGATGGCATTTACACAAGAGCCTTAGGCTCAGCCTCCACTTCCTGTACACAAGGGCTCAGTTCAACACACAAATATGGATAAAGTGTTGCATGGCATTTTATTCATGTTAGTGCCCCAGCACTACTCCATTGCAGCAGACAGAAGTAGTGGCAAAGTTGAAATTTGGAGGAATATTCATGAATGTCTGTGATGGTTCTCATTCCTCCGGCTCATGGTATATCTGTAAAAAGACAATTACATAAATTAAGGCAACTAGACTTGCTGTATTTTACTTGAAGACATTTCGCTGGTCATCTGACTAGCTTTTTCACTTTAGAATGACTTGGAGAAAGCTAGGCGGATGACCAGCGAACGTCCAGTTGCCTTGATTTATTTATTTATTTTACAGAAATATTCATGCATGTGCAAAATATTTGCTGCAACAATGAACAACCTCTCTTGCAAAAGCCTCCAACACTTCTTTTTTAGGGATGCACCGATAATAGTATCGGTATCGATATTGAATATTTGGGCGAGTACTCATACTCGCCAAAATGCTCCGATACCTTCCCCAATACCGGAACGTGCTGGTCAGATGGAGATTTCCTCTGACCGGCAGTGCCATTAGGGAACATGGAGCCAGCTTCCCGGCCAATCAGGAAGCAGGGTGGTGGGTAATGACATGCCAATCAGCTTCCCGATTGGCCGGCTCCATGCTGTTTGGCTGGCCCTATGCTGATTGGCCAAGAAGCTGGCTTCCCAGCCTATCAGCATCGATTCAGCCAAACAGCATGGAGCCGGCTTTCCAGCCAATCAGGAAGCAGGGCGGTGGGTAATGACTCATTGCCCGGCTTCCTGATTGCCTGGGAAGCCGGGCCCATGTTAGCCGAAGTATCGGTATCAGTACTCAGTATTGGCAATACCGGTATCAGTGCATCCCTACTTTTTTTGTATTGCAGAGGGTTCAAATGGCGTATCCATCCATGGTTTAGCCATTTCACTTGCATGAAATATTAAGGCAACAGAGGTTAACCTTTGAAGTTTCAGTTTTTTACTGTACTATGTTTTTTTTTTGAGTGTTGTTCTAAAATAAGATGTTGAAATGTTTTTGTTTTCTCCTCCAGGAAACCTACAATGCTGAATGTGAGTTTGTGGAGAGGATTCATGAACTTGGTTATAATACCTATGCATCCCGTTTACATAGGACAGTTCCGAATGGAGCTGGAACAAAACGGAAAGCCAGTGCAGAAAGACTCTGGTACTTATCCATCAACGGCAAAGGACGACCTAGGAGAGGCTTTAAGACTCGAAGGACGCAAAAGTCCTCCCTCTTCTTACCAAGAGTACTGGACAACAAAGACCACGACGCAGTGCGGCTTTTTCACACGAACACAAAATACAGAGAAAGTATTCAAAAACAGCAGAAAAACAGCGGCAGACAAAAACGGGGACATAATGTGAGCAGGGACGTTTTCCAGATTTAGGAACCTATGTGGACCCCGTGCCTGCAAATTTGGACAAGAAACAAACTTAGATTATTTGATGACTGACCTCAAAGTTGGCTACTTATTCCAATGGACTTGTTACCCGATAATTTATTCTGGTGTTGGCCAAGGTTGCAGATGTAATGATCATTCTAAAGTCAATTTATTGTTTGTTGTTTTCAGACTACACTATCTTGTGCCTAACAGAGCAAATAACATCTGGATGTGGCCATGCTCCCTGTTCAATGAAATGAATCATCAACCTTTAAGTTTTGCAACATGTGTGATGTCTACAAACAGTCCAGACACACATTTTCTTTGGGATGAATCAGAATGCTTAATTTCCAAGAAGCTAGGGAAATAACTGAGGCCCGATTGCAGTTACTATTCCCAAGTCAATACACAACATTTTTATCTGTTGGTTCAGCAACACAAAATGGCTGCTTTGCACTATGGTACTAAGTACTGATACTGTATGAATTCATTATATATCTCTGTTCCTACCTAATAACTAATTCATTAGAGCATATGCTGGTCTGTTGTTCGGTCTACCTCAGATTCCATTTGGTGACTTGTCTCATTGTTTACTGTTCCCTGGCTGTCACACTAGAAGCACAAATACCGGACTGCTCCCTAATGTTAGACTGTACTGGGAAACAGAGAGGGCAAGGTTGTACAGGCGATTAATATAAATATATTTATTAATATTGATCAAGTGTGGCTAATTCTTTTTTTTATTAGAATGAAATGAAAGAATGGTATAATTGAAGGATATTTAAAACTGGGAGCAAAAATATAATATATTGCAACTGACCGGTCCTTAGGTGTGCTGCCTTCATTTTCATTTTTCAGGCCTAGAACATTTCCTACAAGTATAGAAAATACCCATTCATCTTTGCAGAAATGCATTGTGCTTGTTATCACTTCCTGTGAGCTGAACTGAAAACACAAACAATCTTCCTTCTGTAAACTAGTAATCACACCTCCGCCATGTAAAGGAGATGAAGAGAGGAAGACATGTTCAAAATCCACCACAGGTGATAACAATGGCTCCAGAGCCATCACTATATTGATGCAAGTTATAGGGGTGGCAGGTGTGATGCCCATGATACAGCCATAGGGTCAGGTGGCATCTCTTTGGGTCAAATGTGGGCCAGAGTGACCAGGGGGTCCCTGGTTGCTAAGAGCTTGGCAACCTGGGATGCTCTGGCCAGCGTCACACTCAGCTCTCTGATGTCACTGGTTTCCAGGAGCTGAGTGGAATGCTCTGGCTGGCATCCCTTGCAACCAGTGATGTCAGTGAGCTCGGCAAGACACCGGAGCCAGAGGTACTGGCAGGAACCTCCAACCATTAACGTGCACCACCACACCAGCACCCCACCATAACATTCATCACCCCCGCCCCCGGTAATGTTCATAACCATCACCCCCCAGCCTGATCCCGCCACTCCCCGTAATCATTCTAGGGACACCTCTACATGACTCCTTCCATATACAGTGCAGTTAGTGAATGTAGCCACCCAGGGATAGGACGTGTTTTATTTTCAGAATTACTAGGTGAATATAAAGGTTAAAACATTTAAATAGCGAAATCTAATTTAACCACTACATCTCAGGACTGGTAAGCTGCAGGATTTTAAATTGTTATTTCTGAGCTTAGATACACTTTAAAGCTGAACTCAGGCAAAGAGATACATACACAGTTGACATATTTACCATATTTGCAATTATGTTCTTTCAGTCTTGTGAATTACACACCATTTACCACACTGTGCAACCAGTTTCTAAACTTCAACTGCAGTGGAAGCACAGCTTGGTCATGAATATACCCAAAGCTGGCTGACTGGATGATGAAGGAACAGCAGCAGCTATATATTGAGGAGACATCACTGTGATCTCTTCTCCTGTCATCGTATTCCCTATTGGCACTGCAGTGGGGCCCGATTTACTCCTAGTGCATACCATGCCTCTCCCACTCCGAACTCCGCTGTGCAGGAAATTGCAGAACATTAATATAAAGACAAATTCAGGTAATTACACTAGTGAATTCATAACTGCCCTAATTGGTGTTTTTAACATCTGCCTGGAGTTCAACTTTCGGTTGTATTGATGACATAATGGCAAACAAAATTCTTTCATGATTTCAAACATACTTTTTGAAAGCAAAATTGTTGCGGGACTCTCAAGGGGAAGGGGAAAGGAACCAAGGTTCTACATACAGCTAATACGGGGACTATATGATATTACAGTATAAGTACTAAGCATAATGCTGTGAATGGCTATGAAAGCCAGTGGAAGGTGTTTAAACCAACAACAGCGTCAAAATGTCTTCACCTTGTACTTTGAAATGAAAAACTATTCTAACAGGCAATGTTTTGGTATTTACTAATGGTGAATAAGCTTGCCCGGAATTGATTCCAGTTGATTAATTAGGCAGCCTATAACAGTGATGGGCCAATGTGATTAGGAAGCTACGAAACTACCTGGAATGGAACATGAAGCGTCCATAGGGTCACAGTCTATGGTTTATTATAACAGAGTCTTCTTAATGCTTGTTAATTCTCAGCTAGATTTAAATGTGCCTAAGGGGACTGTGGTCAATCTCTGCCTAATTTTGGGCTAAGCTCATCCCACCTGCACATGTGCCTTTTAAATGTTATTATTATTATTGATTATTTAAAAACTATTAAAAATTCCAATGTGGGAGCCTTGGTGATTGGTAAAGGATGTCACATTGGCCTGTTGACCATTGGGGGAGCAGCTTAGTTCTGGGTTGGATGTGGCATTTATTCCTGAACATAGGTTTACCCGAGGCAAACATCATTTAGGTAAGTGCATGACACCACTGCAAAGCAAGATTGCATTTTTACATTTAAAGAAATGTGCTGTGTGGGATTTTCTAGCATTTTAGATATTTTTTTATTTTTTTATGAGCAAGACTGCATGGATAAAGTTTACACATGATAGTTAATTTGACCTAAAAATGTAGGATTATGTCGCTCTCATAAAATGAAAGCTTTATAGCAAGGGCTCCCTTAGCTTGCTAGAGCATTGAGCAGCTGAAATATGAGATCCTTGACTGAATCACAAAGCAGAATACAAAATCTCCCTCACCCTCGTATCTACCCC